TCAACTTAATAATTAGCCTGCTATATTTGGTCAAACAGTTCATGAACTCACCCCAAATGCCTTGGTAGGGCCAGGCCAAATGATTTTTCCAGCCTTATAGGGCCTGCTGGCCGGATGTTCCCCACCCCTGTACTAAAGGGCTTCCTCTTTTCTCTCATCATAAGATTTTACCTTTCATTTCTCTCTCCTGGATTTCCCGCTCCTTCTTGGCCTGAATGGCAAGCAGCCGTCTGCTCTTCACAGTACTAATCATGTCAACAGCTTCCGTATCTACCTGGGGTTCAAACTTCACAACTTTTTTCCTATCGGTTTTGCCTAACCCATTCTCCTCTTTTCCATTTTCTTTATTTCTGGCTTCCATTTCTTTCCGTTTCTGTTTCTCTGCTCTCTTCTTATCATTTTCTTCCTTTAATACAGCAAGCCGTTCCTTCCACAACTCTGCAGACATCTGCTGTCTTGATTCCATGTGGTCTTGCACTGAGTATGTCATGAGAATCCGGTGGCAGAGTGCTGTCAAGATCTGTAGCTTCTCTTCTGAAGTTAGCTCAAAAAATTCAGAAGTTTCCAGCTTCTCTAAGAACTCATCCTGTACTTCATTGTCCTCAAATGGTGCCGAATCTTTATTGTCATCTGTGTCTGAGCCCTCACTTTCTTCCTGAACATCAGATCTGCGCAAGCAGAGCCGCACCAGCTCTGAAACAGAATGCAGAGTCAGGGGGATTTCTGACAGCTTCATTCCCAATTCACCATAGTCTTCTGCTATTTCATCTTGTAATAAGGTCTGTAAAAGGATGACCAAGACTCTGTTCAGGTATAAAAAGCCACCTTTTTCTGCACTCAAGGCTTCCATAAGAGACACAGCAGTAATAGGATACTGAGCATCTGGTAAGAGTAGTCCAGAATAACAGCTCAAAAACTCCACCACCAGGGCTACATCCCCAAAGAGTGTGTTGGGCAGCCCTTCAGGGGTATCCACCAATCTAAATGCTGGAAGGTGCTTGCCAGTTAATTCTTGGTCCTCGTATCGCTTCTGTTTTTCTAGTTTCTCAAGCATTTCTTTCTCTCTCCGCTCTTTGGCTTTCTCCTTCAACTTTTCTCTCAACTCCTCTCGTTTCTTTTTCAAATAGTCTTTGCGTTGCTCTTCAGACATAGAGGCCCACCTTTTTTTGTGCTCTAGAAGCTCAAAGCGTTTTTGAACGATATTCCGCAATTCTTCTGGGAGACGAGCTCTATCTTCATTAGAAAGAAGACGAGCCGTTTTAGAGATAACGCAAGACAGGGCACTCTTCTTGTCCTCCTTGTCTTTGTTTTCTTTGTAGTAGGCAATAAGGTGTAGGGCAGCGGGAGGCAGATGCTTATGAGGTTTACTAGAGGACCTGGGTGTACCCCCAGAATTCCGGGGGGCTCGTGTCATCTTCTGAGTGCCTTTGGCCATATCCAACAAAGTCATCTGCTTCATTTTTGTTTTAGGAGACTTCAGGCCCTTTTTTGGAGATCTGGAATTCCCTGTGGATTTCTGTCCATTCAGGATGCCTTTGCTTCTGCCCTTCGCTTTCAAAGGTTTGTCACTGTGCTTCCCTGGTTTCTTGGCAGGTGGGCCTTTCTTAGGAATGTGAAAGTTAGCATGTAATTTGTTGGTTGACATCATCTTCATCACTTCTTCCAGATGCTCTTCTGGAGATTTGGAATTCTTTGAGTTCTTCACCTTGAGTGGTGAGCCATTCAAGGATTTCTTCAAGTGTACATGACACCATAACTTAGGATTTAGTGGTGAACTCAAAGAAGAGTTATCTGTCTTGGATTTCTTTGAGGACTTCCTGTCTGGGGATCCCGTATTCTTCCTCTTAGTAGAAGGGTTGAGAGTCATATACTAGAAATTAAGAACAGAAGCAAAATTAATTTTAAAAACTAGTTTAAAGAAGCAATATTTAAGTATCTGAAAGGCCCTCTTTTCTACTCTTCAGGCAAAACTACAAATTCATTTCTCTTTATAAATACTATGTCCCTGAAAAAACAGTGTTATACCCATATCAACACAAAATTCTTGATACCTAGGCTTAAAAAGCTATACTCTAATATTAGACATTTTTGCTATGCAACTAGCTTTGTTTATATACAGATTAGCAGTTCTTAAATACTTGAATGAACT